TGAGTTTAGTTGTTCCATCGATTGTACATTTAATAAGTCATCTTCATGATATTAAACAAGATATTTCATTCTGTTCAAAACTCGTCGAACAACTTCAAGAATCTATTAAAACACGATTTTCTGGTATTACCAATCGGTTAAATTTAGTTGATGTTGCTGAAAATGATCCCTATGGTGATACATTATATTTCATGGCTGCTGTTTTGGATCCTGCTTTTAAATTTTACTGGATTCGAGATTTACAACTGCCGATTCATATGGAAAATCGGCTAAAACAAAATATAATTCAATTGATCATTGACGAAATGAACAAAGATTCAAAAAAATCAAAAAATGATTTAAATAAAGTTAGTTCATCTTCAGCAACAATAACTTTTACTGCAACATCAAAAGTCAAACGTCGAAAATTATTTAATTACGATGATAGTAATATGGATGATTCGAACGAATCAACAACACTTGATCCAACAGTTGAATTAAATGCTTATTTAAACGACCCAGTACGCACAAAATTTTCCGATTACTGGTTTCATTCTCAATTGAATATGCTAAAAAAGATGGTTATACGTGTATTCTCAGTCCAAGCATCATCAGCACCAATTGAACGTGCATTCTCACATGCAGGACTGATACTGTCGCAAAGAAGAACAAAGATGAACGAACATTTATTTCGAGACTTGGTTTTTTTACGTGTGAATCAAAAGTTGTTATAAATTATTTGTTTTATATTTTCTATGTGTATGATTTGTTCTTGTCAGATTCTATTGTTGGTTTTCTGTTAAATTTAAATTTGTTAATTTCTTCTTCTAAAATGTAACGTTTTGTAACCGGTGATATTTTTCAAGCTAATAAAAGTTTTAACCCTTCGTATAGATCTCTCTTCTACTGGTGGTGATTTACAATTGCAGAAAAATATTATAGAAAAGAATCTTATAGAGAAACGAATTTGAATCTACTTCATTTCAGCTTTCTATTTAATGCAAAATGAAATAGACAGCATTTACGATAAAATATAACAAAATTAATTGAATAATTAGAAGAAGTGAAAGGTTACAATAAAAATAACACAAAATCGGAAAGTATAAATAATAATATGAATAGTATAATAAAATATGACAAAAAAACTGATAGAACAAATTAACAGGATAAAATGAAGTACGATGAAACGAGAACAATATGACAAAGCATTAAATAAAAATAGGAAAAATATAAAATAAATAAAATTTAAAAAGATAAAATATAATCTTTACTTATTGTTGATAAAATTCATACCTTAATACCATCTAAAACAAGAAAAAAAAGTATAAAGAATCAATTAATTGA